AATTCTCAGCCCTTTGCAATGAAAGCTGCCACACACCCCAGTCGTGCACCTAGAAAGGTTTGGAATGTCAGTCTCCAGGGCTGTCAAAGCAACACTGCAGAATTTATACAGAACATTAAAAACAAAGGCAGCCTTTTCACAAGAGTTTTATTTTTATTGCAATGTGTAATTCTCCTTCCAAATCTCTATATTCGGAGTGAAATGGTAAAGATTGCGTGTTGCAGTGCACTTAAATCAGTGAGATTTATGTCAGCACGTAGAGAGAGGAGAATGATGATGGTGCAGGGAAAAGGGGTAGTAAAGAGAATCAGAAAGTGTGTCGGATCAGGCACTGATTGCACTGGAAAATCCATAGAGGCTAAACAAAATAAATAGTGAAAAGATGAAGAGGACAGATCTGTGTAGTAAAATGGAAACATTTGTTAGGATTTTATTATTTCCTTTCATACCCAAGTTTGTCATCCAAAATCTAAATGAGCAATGAAGAAGCATCTATTTCAGTGCCCTGCAAAGGGAATTGGTCTACAAGTCCAATAAAGTAAAGCTTTTTCACATTATTCACTCAGAATTACACCAAGTATTGCATTCCCCAAAGAGCCATTTTTTGCTGTGGAAGTTATGGAGGTGGTGAAGTGGCAGAAATGCCAGGCAAACCCAGAGTTATTAATCAGATATGCATTTGTTCCTATGGCTTCTTTTTTATTGCTGCTGTTCTTTCTGCTAAAGGTTTCCTGTATTGCTTGCCAGACTCCCGGAGTCTGTGAAGAGTGACCATTATGTACAGAAAATCTTAAAGAAACTGGAAAAATACGGCAAGACTCCTGACCTGAAAATTCAACCAGACACCTTTCTTAAGGTTCTGGAAGATCTACAGGTGTGGGAGCTGTGTTCTCCAGAAATTGCTGCAGCTGTAGAGGTGAGAAGAGTCTAGTTCTTGATTCTCTGTGTGATGAGGTTGGGATAGCAGGCACCTATGGGTGACATTTTTGCAGTGGAAAATTACCGAATGAAATCATTTAGGATCTCACTAAAAGGAATATGCTACTGTGCACCTTTTACAAGGCACTTCGACCTCCTCAGAAGAAAGATGTTATGGCAAGTGTTGGATTATTAATCAGTATCACTTTATTATTATGTCATTACTGCCACAGTGAAAGTGACATCTGTTGTGAGTTATTAGGACACTTGAAGTGAAACATTAACTTGTTGTGCCCTGAAAAGGCCTGATATTCCCAGTAGTTCCATCTGTGAGCTAGTCAAGTAATGATTATATCTCTGATTCAGGAACTCTGCAGATATCTTTGTTTTGCTTCAGCAACATTAAAAAAACCCTGCTTCTCAGTAGCATATGCTGGTCTCAACTCATGTAGTTCTAGAAGCAGCAGGCAGAAAGAAAGTACACAAGCAAGGGGAGAGAATACATTTAGAACGTATAATACTACGTAGTCTAGCCAGGTCGCTAATTTACAGAAAATGACAATGGTGCCACCTTGTGTTTTTTGTTCTCATCGCAGTTAGTTCCCCTAATACTCAAGAGCAACAGAAATCTTGAGTCAGCAGGTTACTTTGCACCTTAGGTAAATCGACCGTTATCGTGCCTTACAAAGGCAAAAGTTTTGCACCCAACGTGTAAAGGTCAGATGACTTGAATTTCGTTAGATCTTGTGTCCTGATCTGCTGAGTCACTAACCAGAGAGGCAGCCGTGTCTTAATGTTTGATATATGTCAGTGTTGCTTGCTGGTTTTAGACCTATTTCTTTACTGTTTCTGTTTTGTTCCCTTTGCATTCTAATCACTCATATTAGCACAGTAGTAACAGAGAAAAACATACAAGCCTAGCTGAGTTGCCTATCTATTTATCTACACATCTTTCAAAAATAGCCACAGAGGAAGGAGGACCTTGGTGCTCCTTCCTATTGGAATAGATAAAGATGGTAGAGTTTTCCTTTTAATTCATTTTAGAGCACATCCAGCTGTTCTGAAAGTTGCCTTAAAAAAAGTTTTGGTGATATAAAGCAGTATACTAACTGCTTGCAGAAGCTGTTAGATTTGTTCTTTTGTCACAATGGTCAAATTTTCCCATGTTATCTCTCTTAAATGTAAATCAGAAGCTCAGAAAAGAACCTTTTTCTGTTTCAGTTTGTACGTGAAAGTATTGTGCAGATGCCAGAAGAGGATTTTAGCGAGTGGCTTCAGACAAAAGTAGCCTCCCTGAGTGCAGAGTCCTCCACCATTTAATCAAAAGGTCAGATGAGATGATTTTCCAGCTACCGCTGTCTTCAAACAGAAGATTACTGCCTGTTGAGATCTGCCTCAAGGAAGACTGAGGAAGGCGAGTTAGCTTCAGGAAGTCCCACTGACCACTCTTGCACAACTGAGATTTGTCCCTCTGTAGTGCTCCACTGGCTCTAGTCAGCCATAGAAAATAAATGCTAAATAGTGGTGCTCCTTCCTGTCTGATATCTTGGGCACAGCATCAGATTTCAGTCTCATCTGACCGTAGAGGGTGAAGACTGAGTTTCTAATCACAGGTCAGGTCATTCCTTCAGAGATTCCTCTGACAATATCTACAGTATAACAAGCATCTATTCAGTACAGATATACCGATTTTCATATCTAAATAGCATTCTCTCTGCTCTTTACTTTTTAAAAAACATCCAAAGGACAGAATAGTTGTAAGCTTTAAGGCAATTCTTTTATTGCATGAATTCTTTTTTGTAATTCAGGTGCTTTGGTTTTGCATTGAGTTTATTCTGTAGTTATTCCATGATTAATTCTTGCCTTACTAAAATAAAAAAAATAAACATCCTAAGATTAATTTTCCAGGTTTTCACCTAAAGATATGTTTTCCCCTGATTACCTTAGCATATGTTTGTCATTGTTCTGCTGGGTAAGACAGTAGAATGACAACCCTGAACTCACAGACAGTGATAAATGCGTGACCTTTGCAAACCTGTCTGGGCTGAACCTTGTACTTCATGGTGGATCACAATTGCTGGGTGATGGAACCAGTGACCTGGTGACCTTCTAAGCTGATGATCTTAATGAGCTGCTCACCTGCCTGTCAAAGCTTCCAGAGGACCCCTTGGGGAGAAACGCTGTTGATCCTTGAACTGCAATAAGGGGGAACAGGGCCAGCTTAGGGTCCAGGTGAGTACAATGACCACTGAAGTGTAATATGTTATTAAATAGCCTTATTTTGTCCCCTTCAAGAGATAAATGTTTTTCAAATAAGAGCCAAGAAGGCAGATTTCTTCAGCTTACAGCCATCAGACAAAAGTAAGCTCTTCCAGTTTTGTTGTATTCTCTCTTTTCTCATTCTGTAGGTGGTGGTGATAAGCTAACATTTGTACAGGTAGTGAAACCATCTTTCCCCTGTTAGTGCTTTTCTTTCCTTATGTCTCAAAATCCGGTAGCAAACTTCCCTCCAAAACTCTGTAGGGCTGATCTAGTGCCCAGTGAAATTGGTGGCAGTGCTTCTGCCAGATGAGTCTCATTATGACCTTCGTCTTGGTCCTTCCTCACTATATGGAACTGGACATACAGGATTGTGAATTTTCCTTATGTACAAGAAATGGTGCTTGTCCTCAGCTGGAGTGCGTGAGCTGTGCTGCTGAAATCAAAACTTTATACTGCCTGAGCATGTGACTTAATGTGTCTGCCTGAATGTAAGATGAGATAATTGTGCCAAATGTAATTAGCTAATGTCTGAGCAGCTCTTTGAGCTCCCAAAGCAGGATGCCAATGCTGAATGTTAGGAGTCTCTAATGTTTTTGTGGGATTATGAAATATCTTCTGCATGTTTTCGTTTGACAGTGTCTCTTTTCTCTCCTGTTGCCACCAGGTAACAAAAGGGACTCCTTTTCTAAAAACCAGAATAGATTATCTTTTCTCCTTCTCCAGCATCAGCCTTTCTGCTGCTGTGAAGTGGGGAAGAGCTCCTCTGGAAGTCAACTACTGGCTGAAAGAAATCAATGTCTAACCTCCTCCTGAAAAGATTGTCAACAGTTGATGGCAAAAAGCTACAAGGGCGTACTGGGGCCTGAAACACCCTCAAATTGCCCTGTTTCTTAGACTCCTCTTACTCATCTGTCCTTGGCCAATGTCAAAGATGCGATGTTGATGCATTTTGGTCTGCCTAATGCTTGTGTTTTATGACAAAATAGGAGGGGGAGAAAAAAGTTGAGACTGTTGGGTAATGGTCCAACCTACCCCTGTAAGCATGTTTGAAGTTGTATTTATCTATTTTCCAGAGTAACTGGAAGCAGAAAGGCTACTGATTCCGGAGCCCTTTTAACAGTCAGAAATGAGGAACGCTCTTTTGCAAGCTGGAGGATGCCACTACAGCTAATTATGGCTGCCTCCCTCTTTGCGGTAGGTGGCCAGTTCCATACTAACGTGCAGTCATAAGGAATAAAAGGCAGATCCTAGATTATTCTGCAGTCAAGAGGGGAAATAAAGGGTGTATTCCACTGGAAAGGAAAGAGTTTGCTCTTTCTCAAAGCAGAGCAACCTCAAAGTTAAGCCTTTCCCATCAGAATACACCTTCCAAAGGAGCTGGCATGCTATAGCTACACAAATCTCCTGCAGGCTTTATGCTAATTACTGCATCAGCCCCACACAATTACATTCTTTTCAATGGCGTCCTGATTAACAGTGCTAGTTTTGAAGATTCTGATTTTCCATTGTTGAACTAGACTTTTGCAGTGCACTTCACAGGGGCAAGATTAGACCCTGAAGTAGGGACAGGCTGAAAAGAAAGCTTTTTCTCTTTGTTGACATTTCCTTTTTTTTTTCCCTGGCAAACAGTTATATCTTTCCTGTGTGATTTATATAGCTCTTTATTAGGGTGGCTATATTTTAGTACATTATGTTGTAAGTTACACCTAACTGTATGGGATGTATTTAGTCATTGTGCTATAAATTGTAGTGGATTTTTAAAAGAACCCATTGTGGTTGACAACTGGGACATCTAATTTATTTCTAGTGCCAGATAACTATCACAGTCATCAAAACATTGTCTTGCACAGACAGTTTATTAGAATATTTCTCAGACTATTCTAACAAATACTTGCCTTTAAGAGGCTGTTTTCTACCTATGGTACTTCAAACCGTGTTTACAAAGTAGGGCAGGTTGCAGCTGAGGGAAATACGTATGGTCTGTAATGAAAACTTCACTAAAAAAAGTGTGGAGGGAAGATTACAATGTCCGACTGTTCCCATTTGTTGTAGGTAAAGAGGAGGAACTGTGACCCATATAATCTAAGTGGCTGAGATAAAAATGACAAAAAAAAGCAAGGTTTTGCTCTTGGAAAAAAATAGACTTGATTACTGCAGGCTTGTAAAAAGAATCCAGGACATAAGCAAGGACTGAATAATGTTCAAGTTTTTTAAAAGCCATTTCCAAATTCCACAAGAGAATTACCAGATTTTCTCATTAAACGAAACAATCATTTCGTATGGAAGCTGTGTGGAGATGACCACTGGGCAATCGGACACCTCCGTCAGAGGCAAGGAATGTTAGCTAGCTAGTCTTTCTCTACAGTTACAGCCCCCTCTAAAGCTAAAGAACCCCCACAGAAATCCAGATTCCAGAGGTACCTACACCCACACAAGCTAGTGTGGAGGTACTCAGGAGTCTGGTCATTTCTGCAGAAGCAGTTCTCTCACTGGTAGCTCTAGAGGGGCCAAGAGAAATCATCTGGCTAAAGGTACATGGCTAAAGCTCTGTTTTCTGAGTAGCCCTCCAAGGAGCATTTTTTCTGTGGTAGTATTGCATCTGGATTTTTGACAGGCATGAAGCATAGCACGGCAATTCTGTCCCAAAATAGAATATTTGCATGTTTTTCAGTCTGATATGCTGGTGTCAACCCAATCAGTAGTTTTATCTGTATTGCAACTTGAAATCATAGGACAAAAGTGAACACTGAGTTTATATATTTGAACAGGTTTTTTTGAAATGTGGTGAACATTATGTATAAATTAGGAAAAAGAATTATCACTTGTTATGTCAACATCCGGGTTATTTTCTAGTGGGATTCCTATCCCAGAAACAGTGTCTCAGTCACTTTTTTCCTATTTAATGATCTTCTGATGTAGTAGTTAAATGAATTCTGGGCCGTGTTCGTTAGTGTGCTCTAGGCTGCTGCAGTTACATTGAACTAAAGCTGCAGTGGCATTGATTTGTCAGATACAGATTTGATGACTGTTCTAATTACTGTATTTAGGACTCCTTAATGAAAGAAGAGTACATGTGTATATGCGTGAGAGAAGGAGAGATGGTTCTTACCGCATGTTACACAATGCAAAAGTGATAAGTATATTAATTATTTATAGGACAATTAATATCCAGCCTTTCCTGCAAGTTCAGATCTGTCCAGATCCAAAGTTTCCCTAACGGGTGCATTTTAGCCTTTTGGTTCAAGCCCTGCCCTACCTATAATTAACGTTCTGTGGCTGCACTAGGTCAGTTACAATACACGTGGCCGTGCATGTTTTGCTCGGTTATGTTGTGTGAAGCTGGAGGTGATTAATATTTCCAGAAGGCTGAATGTACAGCACTGCATTGCACATGGATTTTAAAGGAAATTTGACTTGGCTGAGTTGTGATAATCTTTTTTTAGATGGTTAAAGAGAGGTAAGATAAATTCTGCCACTTCAGTGCTACAAAGAGACTGGTACAACAGACTGTCTTGTCAGTCACAAGGAGAAAATCTTCCAAGAATATGAACTCATTTGCAGGGAAATGGAACGCTGAGATAAAACAAGGGCTCCTCACAGCACAACACAGGTCACCTACAGCACTGAGCAGATGCCCATTGCTGTCTGAGCTGGTGTAACTGATCCTTTAGTGTTGATATGTGACCGATTTAGACAGGTCAGAAGCCAGGAGATAGAATGGAAAAAGATAGATCATGAAATCTGCATAAAGACACCTTCACGTGTGTTTAAGCACTAGCAGGTTTGCACAGTAAACTTATTTGTTTCAGAAGATTATCAGTGAATTAAATTCAGATTGTGAAAGAAACTTTCCTTTTTATCTGAACGTTTCCCTGTTCATATCTATTGACATTAATAATCATATCAAAGTTACCAGCTCATCACACACCTTTGATGTTTGCAAAGCCACAACCCACAGTTATAGTCCGCAGTGAAAAGTAAGAGTGTACAGCGGCAGTGGTAAAATTGCAAAGCTGTGTTTAAACTGAGAAAGGTATTTCTCTCACAATCCTTATTAC